TTTTAGTTAGGGTGGCTTCAAAAAATTGTTCTCCCTGCTTGTTAACACAAATTGAGGCTGACGCATAACAAGAGACATGCATAGCCTGGGTATGCATACAAGTTGCAGAACAATTTTGGAGAGCTTTACTTGTACTGGGGGGAATAATCTTTGGCTTGTTAACACATACCCATTCAGGCTGATGAAATCCTCCGAGTTGATGGTCAACCTCAGCACGGAGGTAAGCCACCTTAGTCACGCAGTCAGCAATCTGGGTCCAACTAGTGGGAGCCTGAGTCCAAGATCCTCCCCTGCATTCGCAGGGGGGGCCAAAAAGGTACTCCCTGATGTTGGAAGGTGGAGGGCTAAGGCCTCCGTATACAAACCTGTTCAGCAAAAGTGCCTTAAGCAGGATCCTCACACAGATTGTTGGCTGCATCTGCAAAAGAGGAAAATTTGTCCTCAGGGGGAGGGCCTCCGTCCCTGGGTTGAGGTAAGTCATTAACCTGTTTAACCAGGCGTTCTGGTAACCATCTTGGGGCTGCTTGTTCTTGGTCCAAAACACAAGCTGAGCCTCGTCCCCAGATGAGGACAGGATCTGGGCCTTTCCATTTATTTGTAAGGGGATCGCGCCACATAACAGGTGGGCGAACAGAATTGGACTAGGGATGCCAGTGTCTGTCTGCGGCCGAATGGCCTTCACTGTCTAGGGTAAGAAAATTAAGGGCAAATAATGCATGGTTAAGGCGATCCCAAAATCTCTGTATTTTAGAATATTATCCTTTAAATAGGTATCTCTTAATTGTCTTTAAAAAATATGATTAAGGTTATTTCCTGTGTAGGGAGCAGTATATAAATCTTACTGTATTTTTTATGGACAATAGATCTAGTCAGAGAACTTATATAATATCAATGAATTTTTTTAAGTTTGTAACCTTTATTGTTTAAAATTAATATATAACTTTAATTTGGAGAACCTTAATCTTAATAAAATGTTGTGTTTGTTTTTTTTTTTTTTAATTTTATGATTATCTAACAAACAAAATATGTAAAAATTAGTATCTCAGTGTCTTAGAATCAATTGATTTTAGTCTCTCAGGACAATTGTTAAAATCGGATTTAAGTTAGTAGTTCAATATACTTAATGTTTAATCAACAATGTGAATTTATTTACCAAAACTAATCTTTGTCTTAAACAGTAAGAATTATTAGGCAATAAGGATCTTACTTTAAAGAAATAAACTTACATTTTAATAGGTTGTTTATCATGTCAAAATATGGACAAAATCTTAGCTCACATTAGTATAGTTAAACTAGGAAAAATAGCCTGAAATACCCTTAAATTAATTATAGTCAGTTTAGTATATATAAATCTCTTTTTTAATCTTTCTAACTTTTTACATCATCTGTTTAGATAACAATATAAAAATCTTTTTTACTTAGGAAAATACTTTTATCATTGAAATATGAATATAAAGACCTTGTTTTACCCAAAGATGATTTCTTTCTTTTTAGGATCCATGTGTGCTTTTTTTTTGTTGAAGCATCCTTTTCTTTTAGAAAAATTTTTTTGTTATACTTGGAACAATTTCTGAAAACATTAGAATCTATAAACAAATTACTGTACTTTGATAAGAAATATCAATGAAAATATAGTTAAAATCCTATGTCTATTTTGTAGACATAATTATAATTATCATCTTATGAGTTTGAACAGTAACTTTGAGAATTAGAAACTACTTGAAGATTGTATTTTCACTTAAAAGCAAATTTATAGTAAACACATTTATCTCAAATATCTGTAACTGAAAAGGCAGAGTATCTGATAAATGTAAATACAAAACATAAATTATGGGTTTTCTGTTGAAGAAAAACAATTAGGCAAATATATATTAACTAATCAATTAGGCATGTGCTAATTATTTTATAGATTAACAAATATAGATTATCTAAATATCTTAAAAATATATATATTAAGAATAAGAACATAACTTATAATTGTATTAATTTTATGTAACCACGTGGTCTTAAAATATTTGGATCCATTTTAATTTATTTTTAACTAGGAGTGCACTCTTTTATGTGACGTCACTTAATGTAACTGAAATAAAATCCTTGTTGAGTATACATATTTATTTTTTATAGTTAGGAATGAGAATAAGGATTTTTTGGTCATCACAGGAACATTGCCGGCTTTGTTCCTGTGGCGAGCAAATGCATCCTCATAACCTCCAAAATTAAAAGTAAAATATAAAGAAGCATGTTTGATCTCTCATCAATAGAACATTATTTAGTAACACAACTATAGAGAAAAGTCAGGTTATTTAACTCAGAACTAACTTAAATTTAGGGCTGCAACATAGAAAGCTGTGGAATTAAATTTTGTCTGAAAAAGATATCTTTCGTTAGCATTTACAGGTAGGCATTCTTAAAAATACAGGCTCTGAACAGCTCCGGTAGAAATCTGAAACACAGTAGTACAGGTTAGTGGCTGGAAGGCGGGACTAGAAGTCCTGTCTGAGTGACTGTGGAAGAACCAATCGGAAGTGTGGGAGGTGGGACCAGGAAGCCTGCTCTTCTGGCCAGGCACCCCATGGTTACCATGGTGATGCAAACAACATGGAGTCTGCTGCCCATTTTCGGGGCAAAAGTTCCCCAAGTTTTCCTAGCCGATTGCATTTTGTTTGATTTTGTCTGCATTTTCCCCCACCTGGCCAAGATCTTACTGCGGTAGCAGCTTGTTCTGTCTCTGCAACCTGCGGTTGCAGCTCGTGTACATCCTGCACTTATTTCTGTGGCATGTGGGTGCTCCAAAGGTTTTTTAGCAGCAAACACTAGCATTACCATCAGATCTTAAGTTAGTCTGTGTTTGGCATTTAGGTCAAGTAATTCAAGGATTAAAAGCACTGTTGGCCGCAGGGGCTAGGACCCCATAGCGAGCAGCAGCGGCTAAAGTCTCTTGTCCCCAGTGGCTGAGTTACAGCCATTCTGATTCATAGGACAATCATGTAGTAAAAAGGTCCGTACATACTTTCTGAGTATTGACAAAAACAATAGAAAATTGAAACTTATTTCTCTCCAGGTAAACATCACATTTTCTCTCCCTTTTTCTCACTCTCCTAGCACAAACTTCTAGAACGTAAAGGCCAAAAAATATCTCTTTTTTTTTTTTTTAAGCTTTTTTTTTTTTTTAAATTAGGTTCTAGTAAGAAAAGGTGGGAACAGGCACATTTTCTGGGCCAAAGGATTCATAATAATCTTTTAAACAGTCTCCTACTCTAAGCCATCTTTTACCATCGATGGTCCCTTCAAGGGGAAACCATGGACACAATTCTCCTATGTATGAAAAGAATAATTTTAAGTCCTTTTTTTTAACACGTGCCCCCCGTGTCTTGAGGGCCTCCTTGAGGCCTGACAAAAACAACTCATGTGACGAAACTGCTTGTCCCATGGTGGGTCACTCACCTTGCGTCGTCCTCACTCTCCTCCTGGATCTGTCTCTCGGTCGTGTCTGCCAAGGCGATCTCGCGCTCCCGCTTGGCCAAGTCTTCCCGGAGGACGGCGTTCCCCCTCAGTCAAAGGCTCGAGCCCCACGTTGGGCGCCAAATGTCCCGTCCGGCAGGACACATCAACGTGGGCAGCGAACCTAGATGGGGAGGAATGAAGGGACAAGAGACACGAAAGGTGACAGCAAGACAAAAGTTCTGATCAAGCTGCAAACTTTTATTGTTCACACAGGGGTATTTATATGGTGGGGATGGGGAAGCTCTCTTATTGGCAGTTGCTGGATGTCTGCACAAGGTGAGATAACCACAGGATGTTTCAGGAAGATAGGTTTCAGGAAGATAGGTGGCCGGCCGCAGGATGTCTCAGGTGAGATAAGTAGCTGCAGGATGCCTCCCAGGCAGGATGTCTCCCAGGGGGCTGTCAGGCTAATCTTTGAAGGAGAATTTCCTTCTAGTCCCTGACATGTTACCATGACTACATCCTTTTAACCCTGAGTGATAGCTAACTGAGATAAGGTCCAGGTTAGTACAAACACAGAGCCCCTTCTCTCCAAGGACTTGCTAAGGAGGCCAGACAGTGCACCTGCACAGTTATCCTAGTAGCCAGAAGAAGGGAAAACTGCTGGGCATTCCAAGGCTGGGAAACAGGGAAACTTGTGAAGAACATTGCTATGGCAGTTGGGCATCCCATGCTTTTGCACAGAAGTTTCCCAGTAGCCAGGTACATCCTAGCAGCCAGGCATTCTATGTCTTTGCACAGAAACCAAGCATGTCACAATCATGAAGTTTGTTGGAGACCCCAATCCCAAACACATGTAAGGGTCCGACGAAGCGTCGGAGAAAGAGACCACCAAGTGACCACTCATGCAATTGGCAGAAGGGGATTTATTGATCTAGCATGCTAGGGCTCCGTGCCCACTCAAGAAGGGAGAACAGCCCAGAGCCCCGAGCAGGGGCTGAGCACTGCTTAAGTACACTTTTTTTGGGAGGGCGGGGATTTTACATATATCACAGTCTCCTTTAACAAATCATTATACACCGCGGGAAAGTCAAACAACAATTCTTAGACTTGATTAGTACATACATTGGCGAGAACAGGTCAGGCTGGAGTGATAGGTCATTCCTAAGGAGGGGGTTACATTCAAACTGATTGATCCAGGCCCTGCAATGCCTACGTGACAAGCTGCACGTAGGGCATTGTCTTAACTGCCTCAGGAATTTAACCCAGGCTTTGCAGTTTAGAAGCAGGTTTACAATGCCTGGTCCTTTACCCTTTAACTTTTACGCTTTAACTTCAATTTCTTTTACCCTTACACACAGAACTCCCACAGTCAGATACACTAGTTTCCTTGTGCAATCATCACACATTGCTTGTTTCAAGTTCTTTTCCAGAACAAAAGAAATAAACAAAGACTATGAGAGAACCACACACAACAGGAAGGAGAAGGGGAGGTGCCCTGATCTGAGGTTAAATTCAAATCCCTTCTCACACTAAGAAACCAGAACTGCCTGCAGCTATGAATGCTTTGCGGTCCCACCCTGTGTGAAGGAAACTGCTCTTGGCTGTGCACTTTTCTCTGGAGCAACGTGAAGACAGGCTTTTGGCCTTAAGGACACAAGTAGGTGAACAAGAAGTTGAGAAACAGGGTGGACAGAGAGAATATTACACCATGAAGGTTCTAATATTCAGATGGGAAAGGGCAGTTGGAGTTCTTGATTAGGTTTCCAAATTCAAGGGTAATAATGCTTTTGCTTCTGCTTCCTGCATTCTTGGTTCTGCCCTCTGAGTCATCCTTCCTTTCTCATGAAGCATAGTAAAAGTTCAGAGTTGAGCAGTTTTTTCAGGTTGCTTCCTACAGATAGAATTTGGGGATGGGGTTGAGGGAATATAACAGCCTCCTTTTATTTTGTACCTACTGTGTCATTCAAGCTGGCAGGCTGTCGGTTGTACTGATGATATGGGTCTTGAAGATCAGAAAAATGTCCTTGCTCCTTGGTGTTGAAGATTAAACATCTAAGAAATGCCAAGGCAAGTGTAGAAAGCAAGTTTTATTTAATAAAGGGATAGAGACAGACTCCTAAGAGAAGTGGCCCCAGAGCTGGGCATGTGTTGTTCTTTCATAGACCTCAGAATCTCTCTTTAAATCATTGCCTTCTCTCTTTTCTCCATATAATGTAAAGAATTTAAAAGCTCTAAAGAAATCAAAAGGAGACAGAAGCAAGTTGCAGAGGCAGAATGACAGAATGGCCCCTTGCCCAAGCTGCCAGCTTTATTTATATCAATAGGCTACATAAGGTCACTAGCCTCAGTAGTACATTATTGTTCATTGTGTCATTAGGCAGGTTACAGAGTTAGCAACATTATGCAGTTTATTCCTGAGTTACATGCTATAGTTGCAATGTGCAATGTTAGGAGCTTTGTGTAGCTCACAAGAAAATTCACTGTTTAAAGCTACTGATATGTGGACAGGTTCAGGTGCAGTGGAGCTTGGTGAAACATTGTGTGAAACAAGAGAGTTTCTTTATTCTCAGGAGCTGTATGCCTAAAATCAAGGTCAAGTCTGATAAGCCTCCTCATGCTGGGCATTGCTACAGCAGCTAGCCATCCTGTGTCTCTGCACAGAAAGTTTCCCAGCTGCTAGGCATCCTGTATTTTTGTACAGAAACTTTCCTTGCCACCAAGCATGCCACAGCCATGAAGTCATCAGAGACCCCAATCCCAAACACAGAACCCTTACAGTATAAGTGCCTGGGAACAGGAAATTGGGGGTTAGTTGTTAGCAATGCAGACTGCCCAGGAGCCTGATCATAGAGGCTAACAATCCATTGTCCTCTATTTAATAACCAGTCCTCACTCTCTCTGGACCCCCATCATTCATTATCTACACTGATTGCCTGATCTTCATCCCCTGCCTCAGTTTGCTGAGGAATGTGTCATATCCTGTCCACTCAGGCCAGGTGAGGCTGCAGGCAGTTTGATTTTTGGCTAAGAAAGCTTGTGCTGGGTGTGGTCAGCACCATGGGCCCATTTTATCCAATTATTCTCCTAACTGGTGTCCCACCATTCTCATCTATCTGTCCCCTTACACTAATATTCTCAAGTACTTCTGATATATTTCACTGGAGCCCCACTCCATGAGACACAAGCCACATCCATAGGCAGTTTTAACATAAATTCTCCTATACATTGGCCTTGATGGAGTTTTTGTGAAGGATGGTATCCTAAAACTTCCTCTGGGACATCTGGTTTGATTGATAGCTCTGTGCCAAACTCTTAGACTCTTGAAAGAGTTCGTTGTGTACCAGATTACTCTGATATTTTGATATTTTTGAGGTTTTAGCAAAATATTGTCATATCATACCTGTTAAAAAAATCTCAGTTCTTGATTCTGATGCCAATCCAACTAGAGAAGTCATGGTTTTGAGACAAATGATAAAGAATATTTTTGCCTTCTCTTTTCAATATTGCCAGATTTCCTGCTTTACAGTTTATATTAACAGACCAGAAAGTTAATACTTACAAATATTCACAGATTGGATCATAGGAATAAGAATAATATTCATTGTTGCTATTCCTGACATATTTCTAGTCAGACAAATTTCTCTGTAAATATAAGGAAAGAGGAAATCTCCATTTTTCTAAGAATCTATATCTAGAGATTTTTCTTTAAGACATACATTTTTAATACAACACTGTGATTTTATTATACAGCATAAAAATCAGGCCTTATTAATGCTTATAATTTACTAGTAAAAATGAAGTAAAAGTTTGAGCAGAATTATTTTATAATGATAATAGAGTAAGTGTTCATGAAATATTTTCTATATTTCCTATGTAGCGCAGGAAGAAAGTTGGTTTTTAGAAGGGGCCTAGAAAGAAATTATTCCTCCATAGCTGATTATTAACTTCAGGAAAAATCTGAGAGAACCTCAGAGAGGTTCTGCAAGAGAGGAGTCATCACAGCTATCATTCCCTCTCTGATCCACAGTTCTAAATGTCTTTTAGTCCAAGCTGGGGATGGCTTCTTGAATCATTGGTCATTATTCTTCTCCTAGAAAAAAAAAATGTGTAGACAAATTCCCTTAATTTATTCAGAATACAGATAGAATTCTTTCAAAGGAACTTCAACTAGAAAACAGGGAATGAGTAGCTTACTAAACTACTGATGTAAACAATAGTACAGATAAATTTCCAAATAATAACGTTGAATAAAAGACAAAAGGAAAAAAAGAAAACGGGGAATGAAGAGACAGAAAAGTTTACAGAGCACATTCTATGATTCTTGAACAGGCCCAATCTTGGCCAGAAACTGTTTTCTGTCCTCCAAACTGAAAGCTGAATAATCTATGATCTCTGAGATCACAATCAATGGTCTAAGGGAAGCAGACAAGACCATGAAAATTACAATCCATGGTGTGTAGCAGATGTTTAACAACTCTCAGAAGAGGAAAACTCCTGGTTTGGAATTTTGTCATTTGTGGGGATCAAACCCAGGGCATGCTAGGTAAGTACTCTACCAGCCCATAATTCCTGGTTAAAGTATTTTCCAATTTCTATTATATAAATACATCCTGAGTGGCCAATTGAAAGTTACCTATTCCAAACCGAAAGTTGGGAAGAGATGCATAGTAACTCATCATTATGTAGTATGTACCCTGTACATATAAGATGGACAAAAGTGGACTCTCGAGCATGAATAATAGTACAATTTAATACAATAATTTAGAAACTGGTCAGTTTCTCAGTTGTACTATTTTTTTTTTATTTTAATACACTTTATTTAATTGGAAATGTACATGATTTCTTTTTTATTAAGGTGAATTTCACATAATATCAACTTAACCATTTTAAATTATATAGTCCATTAGCATTTAGTACATTCACAATGTTATAGAACAAGCACTTCTTTCAAGTTTCAAGCTAATTTCATTATCCCCAAAGACAACTCCAAGCCCATTAAGCAATTTCTTCCCATTTCTACTTCCTGTAGATCTTGGCAGCCACCAACCTGCCTTCAAATCTATGAATTTAAGTATTTTTTTTAAATTTATGTATTTTGAATATTCTTATAAGGGAATGACACAATGTCTCACTTTTTCTGTATGGTTCCTTTCACTTAGCATAATGTTTTCAAGGTTCATCCACACTGTGGCTGTATCAGAACATCCTTTCATGGTTTATTATGTTCCATTGCATGAATGTACCACATCTTATTAATGCATTAATTAGTGGACATTTGGGTTATCTTCATCCTTTTGGCTATTATGAATGGTACCACTACGAACACTTGTGTATACATATTTTTAACCTTTATTTTCAATTTTCGGGGTACACCTCTCATTAGAATTCCTAGGCCATATAATAACTCACTATTAATCTTTTCTAAGAAACTGCAAAACTGCTTTTTATGATAGCTGTGCCATTGCACCTTCCCACCAATAATGTTTCACTTTCTGCATGCCCTCTCCAGCATTTGTTAGTCCGCAGTTGTTGTACCTATCCTAGTGGATGTAAAATATTCAGTGTGGTATTAATTTGCATTTTCCAAATGACTAATGACATTATACCTCATTTAATGTGCTTTTGGCTATTTGTACATTTTCTTAGGAGAAATATCTCTGCAATCATATGCCTGTTTTTATAGTTATCTTTATAGTTATGAGTTGTAAGAGTTCATTTGATATTCTATGCATTAAATCAATATTGGTATATATATATATATATATATATATATATATATATATATATATATATATATATCAGGCAAATATGTTCTTCCATCCTTTGGATTGACTTTTCATTTTCTTGATCATGTGTTTGACACACAAGGTTTTTAATTTTGATAAGTCCTCTTTCTATCCCCCATCCCCGTTGGCTTTTGGTGCCATGTAAGAATCCAGTGTTGTATCTAAGGTTATAAAGATTTACCCATTTTCTTGAAAGGGTTTTATGTTTTTATCTCTTACATTAATGTCTTTGATCCATTTGGATTAATTTTCGTATGTCATGTGAGGTGGGGCTCTGACTTTATTCTTTGGCATGTGGATATCCAGTTGTTTTTATATAAAGCTAAATTTTGACTGTGTCAGTTTGCTCCATTGTCTCTCTATTCTCTATCTAATTTATCTCCACATTAATCTTTATTATTTTCTTCTTTCTGCAGTCTTTGAGTTCAGTTTCTGTTTCTGTTTCTATTTCCTTAAGGTATGAAAATATGTTATTGATTGAGATCTTTCCCTTTTTTATGATTTAGAAATTCATAGCTCCAAAATCCCTGCTGAGCATTGATTTCACTTCATCTCCTAAAATTTGTCGCATTTTAATTTATAATCATTCCAAAGGATTGTCTCAATTTCAATGTAATTTGCACTTTAAAAAATATTTCTTTTTTGACTAATGCATTATAGTTTCACATAATATTGGGATTCATTTTGATTTAAATATAGAAGCTTGGAATATAATTTGCCACCCTAGTACTTCTCCTTTTCCTCCCCTTATCTCTCCCCCTTTGCCTTTTTCTCTACTGTATAGATCTTTATTCTATTTATTTATTGTGTTTTTAAATTATTGCTTCGTTATTATACAAAAGGTGAAATTCACTGTGGTATATTCATGTATGTATGTAGCATAATTTGGACAATTATTTTTTCTACAATTCCTTTTTTCCTCTCTCCTGTCTCCCCTAAAATCTTCTTCCTCTGCTTCACTGCACTTCCTTCTATTTTTCTTGGGGTTTCCCCACTCTTTAACTTATTTAGTGTAGCTTCTGTCAACAAGAGAAAACATTTCACCCTTTACTAACTGAGTCTGGCTTATTTTCCTCAGCAGGATGTTCTCCAGTTTCATCTATTTACTAGAAAATGCCATAATTTCATTCTTCTTTATGATTGAGTAAATATACTTAGTATATATGTACCACATTGTCTTTATCTATTCATCTGTTGATGGACACCCTGGCTGGTTCCATATTTGGCTATGATGAATTGTTCTTCTATAACCACTCATGTGGCTGCATCACTATTATATGCTCACTTTAGTTCTTTTGGAGAAATACCAAGGAGTAGGATAACTGGGTCATATGGTGTTTCCATTCCTGAGTTTTTTAAAAAAATTTATTAATGAATTTATTTATTTATTAAAGTATAAATTTGTTATTCTACCAATTTAAGTATATTTGATTATATGAATAAGAAGATATGAAACAAAGAAGATCACAACTTCATGGATTTTATCTTATTTATTTTTTTAAGTTTATAATAATAATAGTTTATTTAGATTGGTGGGAGATCTTAACAATGGCTCACAGTGCAAATATTTCTTTTAAATACACATGATTTCATTTTCTGTTTTTTTGCAGTACTGGAGATCAAACCCAGGGTCTTATGCATGCTAGGCAAGTGCTGTACCTCTGAGTTACATTTCAGGCCTATTTCATTTTTAAAGACAAAATTAACTTGTTCTTGTCTTATGCCTAGGCAGTAAACAGGTTCCACTTTCTCCATTGCTGTGGTCTTTGCTGTTACTTGTTCGATACTGGCAGAGCATTAGCCAAGAAAGGAAGGAGGGATGTTTGCCTTAGAAATCTGGCTTCCTGTGCTTCCTACAACAGTGGTATTTTGAAGGCAGCTAAATTTTTCAAATAAATCTGTTATGGTTTGATTTTCTAGTTTAGTGTTGTTTTTAATTATTAATTAATTTATTTAAATTAGGTACATATGACATCAACCATTCCTGAGTTTTTGAGGGCTTTTCATAGTACTTTTCAGAGTTACTGTGCTAACTTGCAGTCCCATCAACAATATATGAATGTATCATTTTCTCCATATTTTTACCAGAATTTATTATTATTTTTATTCTTGATAATTGCCATTCTGACTGAAGTAAGTGTCAGTGTAATTCTGATTTGTGTTTCTCTGATTGATAGGGATGGTGAACATTTTTTTTTCATATATTTGTTGCCAGTTTTGAGAAATATTGGTTTAGTTCTTTTGTTCATTTGTTAATTATGTTATTTGTGGGGTTTTTTGGTGTTAAGCTTTTTGAGTTATCTGTATATTCTGGATATTAATACCCTGTTGGAGGAATAGCTGGCAAAATATCTCATTCTGTAGGCTCTTACTTCATATTCTCATTTATTTCCTTTGCGGTGATATAATGCCATTCCTGAAATTGGTTCTTGGTTTTATTTTTTATGCTTCAGAAGTCTCATTAAGGAATTTGGTAACTATAACAAATATTTTCAAGTTTTAATTCTGTTTTCTTCTAGCATTTGCAAAGTTTCTGGTTTAATTCCTTGGTCTTTGATCCACTTTGATTTGATTTTTGTGCAGCATGAAAGACAGGGACCTAGTTTCCTTCTCCTATATATGGATATCCAGTTTTCTAGTACCATTTGTTAAAAAGTCTATCTTCTCTCCAGTGAATGTTTTTGGCACCTTTGTTGAGTGTCAGATGACTATATCTACATGGTTTTGTCTGTATGTCTTCTAATCCATTGGTATTCATATCTGTTTTGGTGCCAATTGCAGGCTGGTTTTGGCACTCTAGCTGTGTAGTGTAATGTGAGATCTGGCATTGTGTTCCCTTCAGCATCACTCTCCTGCCCAGGATTGCTTTAGCTACTCTGGGTCTCCTATTTCTTCGAGCTTAATTATAGGTCCTTTTCTCTAGTTTTGTGAGGAAAATCATTGGTATTTCTCTAGTTTTATGAGGAAAATCATTGGTGGGCATTGCATTACCTCTGTATAACACTTTTAGTAGTATGGCCATTTTGACAGTATTTAAGGAAATATTATTAAACTGCCACATATTTTGTATTCTAGCTTTCTTTTAGTTACTGATTTATAGTTTCATTCCACTGTAATCAGAGCAGATACAGTTTATGATTTCAGTCTTCTCATTTTTATTGACACTTGTTTTACGGCTTACCAAATAGTCTATTATGGAAAATGTTCCATCAGTAGCAGGTGTATACGAAAGAAGAATGTGTGTTCTGATGTAGTTGGATGGAATGTTCTGTATATATCTGTCACGTCTTATTGTGTCACACAGCTAAACTAGTCAGGGTCATTCCAAGTTAATTTGGGGAATAAATAAAGACACCGAGACAGAAGGTACCTTTTCTTTAGGTTTAGTGACTGCTCCTTAGCTGCAGTTCCCACAAGGGGTCCAAGGCAGAGAAGAAAAGAGAGTGAGGGGCACATGCTGAACCCTTTTATTGGGAAGAAGCCATTCAAATGAAACAAGGGGTCAGGCTTCAGGGGGTTGAGTCTAGCTTTGTGAAGTCTTGCTGTCAGCAGATTGACTGACATCTAGGAAGGCCTCGCCCATCTCATGTGCTGAGTGGGAATCATAGGCAGAGTGAGGGAAAAGACGCACAAAGTCACCTGCCCAGGGGACAGTGTGGGTTCAGTCCATTTTGTGTGCTCAGTGCTCATAGTGCACACACACATACAGCCCATGGCTGGCTTGCCACATCTCCACATTCTCATTGCTTAAGGCTAA